GGGAAACAAAATGTTGCCACTATCTTCGTTTAAAAATCGCGAAAAGACAGTGTGCAAGTCTGCTCGATGGAAAATTAATTATCGGCTGGCTGTAGCTGCATTACGAAGTTAAATCAATCCAGCGAAGCCATTTTCTGATAAATAGGGATCGAGGCTGTTTAATTCGAGAACCTGTTCGCTCAGCACCTGTTCGCGCTGCGAGATTGTTAGACGCGAGTAACAGTTGTTTTGGTCAATCCCGTTGGATAATTTATACCTCGGCGTCTTTCCAAATAGCCACGCGAACGTTTACCCATCGCGTCTCTGTCACGCTGGTCGCTATTTCGAGTTGTCGTCCGGCGCAGAAGCGCTTGTACCGCTTGGACGGCGGAGCGACCCGGTTTCACCAATAGAATCTGTCGACTACCTAAGATCCGTGATGGCAAACGGTGTTACATAAAACCTGGATACCGTAGGCGTCAGCGCGCTCGTTCAGGAATCTCATGCTCTCAGACCGCGAATCGATCTTTCGCCTGGTGGCTGGTAGCATTACGGCCAGACCAGCCCCCTCTCTCCTTTCCCGTTAAATTTCTTTCCTCATCTAACACACGCGTCGTATCTTTCACGCCTGATATATTTCCTAAAGGGCGATACATCATTTGTCTTAGACGGCAAAATATGCTCTCACGCCGATACCTCCCCGTGTTCCAGCTCGTGCCACCCATCGAATGCTTGCTGTATGTATTTATCGGGACTAATGCCGTTTCCATGCCATAAACTACGCACCGCGGATAAAAATAAAGAGAGACACGCGACGGTTTCCCCGTTGTCAAGCTGCTGCCTCCATCGGTTATCTCGACCTGCGCGAACGTATGTAGATACGTTGTCAAGATTAACGAGAACGTTCACCGCGCGATGCGTTCACAGTACGTTATGCATGCGCCTGCATTAACCTATTATGAAAGCGTTCGTTTACCGCGCGCGTGCCTATCGGCATTGCATTACTGAAACGCCTCGCGGAGTATTTTAAAAAACGTATCGTTGAATATGTATTCGCTGGGAGCCGTCGGCCGCTTCTTGTTGGAGCGTTTAACGAAATTGCGGCTGAGGCTTCTTCACCTGCGCGATTTTCTAGTGGAAATATCTTTGGCGAGATCCAGAATTTTCTTATCATCTTGATGAAACAAGAGAGTTATACGTATAACATCTTCGTCACACGAGTAAAGTTTATATATCCTAGTTGTAAATCCATCGGAATATCGAATCAAAGATCAACCTTCGAGATCAAAAATACCGAGACGCTAAACTCAACTTAAGCTCCCACCTCCTGAACGGAAGTCTATTGTCATCAATTGCCGCTTTCCCGTTAACGACATTGACGAAACGGCAAGCGAACTGTTTCGAAACGGTGGTTGCTCGTAACTAGGAGCGCAAACACGCCAAGTTCGATCCGACAGGGCCGAGGGAACCAGCCGCGTCGTGCAACACACGTCTCCCCGCGAGATAATGCATCATGAGAGTACAAGTTGAACGGCCGGCACCTTTTCCAACGTGCTGCAACTAGGTGAAAATTTCTGAAAGGCGATAACTCGCCCGAACTCAAATAGCTCAGTTACAAGTGGGGACCCAAAAGCCGATCGCGGTCCCGTTTGTCTACAGGCTGGTGTGCGTTTGTGTACGTGTTCTTTGCTTCGGGGCACGTTTGAGGGCAAACAGGAAGCGACTTCTCTGCGAGAGACCCGGTCTACCGGTTTGCACCACACTATCTGTCCGCGGCAAACATTTGTTCAGGACAGGGGACGAAAACCGAGACGAGACGCGTACGACAGCGATGCGATATCAGTAATAAGATAAAGACTAAACCGATGAACCGAGTCCGCGTTTTATCCCGTTGCTGTTTCCTTCTCGTAGCTTCCAAGCGGTCTACGCCGTCTTCGTTCATCTATATTTCGCGCTGGCGAACATCTAACTACCACGAACCTACACAGAAGGCGCACGCACGTCGATACACGCTCGTTTGTTCAAAACTTCTTTATCGAGGATCCTCGAGCAAAGCTGCCAGGCTTAACTGTCCGCACCGGTGCTCCCCGCAATCTGTCTTTCTCCCTCTTGTCTCACTGTTTTCTATCGATCGAACATCGAGTGAATTTTTGTCGGACCGGCATGGAACTCACAAAGTGCTTCCTCATGCAGAAATTGTCAGAAAGAGAGACAGAAAAGAAGAGAGAAAGAGAAAGAGATTGATACCGGTGAAACGTCTCGCAGAGGACGTTCCAACGTCGTGGCGAACACTTGAACGCGAAAATCATAACGGGAGTAACTATCGCGCGGCAAATATTGATCAATCGTGATAGAAACTCGACGGTTGATTGAATTAAAGTTGGTGTGTCGAAGCGTCGTCCGCCGCTCGCGATTATTTCAGCCTTCCAACCGATATTGAATACCTGATCCCCGACGATTACTCTGTCTCCTCCGCGAGACCCGCCAACCGGAATTGAAATCTTTCAAATGCCTCCGGTACGCCGGCCGTTCTTACCGCGGATCATAATAGCGTCCCTCCCTGTACCGAAAGTCTCTACATGGATATCTCGATGCGCAAGGAGAATATTCCGTAGTATTCTTGGTCTGGCCGGGATCTCCTCGCGTTCGGGATCCCTCCGGTCGCGGTGCCGTCGGACAAAAGAAGAAAAGAAATACATGCATGTATGTATGCGCGCGGATACGTATTATAAACCTCCTGAGCTCGCGCGCGATCCGTCTATATTAAAGAAAAGAAAGAGAAGGGAAAGGAAAAAGGTAGAGGAACGAAACAAGAGGATCCTTTTCCCGACTTTTTGTAATGGGCCGCAGTTACGAACTCGCCCAACCCCTCGGTTGGCGTTTGTATCCCTGCGCCTAGCATAGTAAACCAGACGCGCGCGCGCGTGTTGCACGCTTTTACGTTTATACTGCGGGCAACCCCCGGACAAGGAACGACGTATGCTACGTACAGCAACGGGCGAAGATTGGCGCTGGATGTTTGCGAGGTCGGCGTCGCGGCCACCCAACCCCATTTTCGTACGGTGTGAGAGTCGAGCATGTGGTAATAAACAATTTGTTACGTGAAGGGTCGAAACCGGACCAGGAGAGGGCGGCGTACGCCGCTCTCTTGCAACGTTGCGCCCATTTTCTTCTGTCGTACGCACGTTGCCGTAGCGACGCGTCACGATGTTTTTCGCAATACCTTCGGCCACGTTGATCGTTAACCTCTCTCGATTATCGTTGCGGTGAGCGCGGCAATCGACAACGATCCGAACTCGTCGCCAATGTTGTTCATTATCTATGCGCTATATTGTTTCCGTCGATAGCGATTCGCCGTGTCTGACTGGTCGATATCACCGGGCTACATATCGGTGATTACCATTCCCACTTTCATATCGCAATCGAGAACGTGTCGGTTTTTCCCTCGAACAGCATTTTTACAAACGAAATTCATAGTTTCGCCGGCAGTAAGTCTCAGTTAATAAGTATTCAAAGTAGCCTTTCGACACAAGACGATGGGAATATAATGGAGGTCATAGGTTAATTTCATTTCATTCCACGAAGTTGCGACTCGTTAACTCCGTTAACGAACAACTTGTTTTTCTCGGCTTCATATTTTTTCGTTTGACCGGTTATCGCCAGCACGTATCGCGTAAATTTCAAAAGATACAATTCCATTCTTTTCGTTTCGTGTGATTCTGCGACCGGCTGGCAACTATACACGCGTCAGCGACGTTCGCTCTCGAATTAACGCAGAGGCGCGAGCAAGGCGCAAGAACGTCGGCGAAAAGAAAGAAAAAAAGAAAGATCCACTTGACTTTAGTTTACGCGAAGACGTGGAAGCGTTGAAAAAGGGACGGGACTTCCTTCTTCTTTTTTTCCTCGTCTTCCTGCAGCCTGCCATTCCTCCCTCATGAACGCCAGCCGGCGGCGTTGCACGAACGCAGATGATAACGGGGAGGCGCAAAATAAAATGAGATCGCATTATGTGCACTCGTGAAAAGGACCCGGAGGGGCCGAGGTCGCTCGCGCATGGATCATATAGCTGCCGATGCAGACTCGCTGCTATAAAAGTGTTTTGTATCACGGGTACAAGCACGCGCGCGTGCACGACGCGACGGCCGCGTCTCTGGCGTTCGCGTTTTCCTTTTTACACGAAACCGTGGACTCTGCTCGCCCATCTGCTGGGTGACTGGTTTCACTTCACGGGAACCGTGTCGAACGCGCGTCGTCGCGTTTTGTGAAATCGAGGGGTTGCGCGAGCAAAGACGGGACGCATCAGTCGAGGTCTCTTCATTAGAACGATATCTATTGACGCGTGGCGTCGCCTACGCTCCTCTCTCTACGCACGATTCGCTCGTATTTACTTACTCTCGCAGAACGCGCGCCCTATCTCGCTTTTCGAATCTTCTTCCCTCTCCGAGTTGTTTTTCTCCTTTTTTCTTTTTCTTTTTTGTTTCTTCCTTTTTTCGTTTTTTCAAAGTTCCAGCTCGGCGGGTAACTCGGTGTTCGCCGTGGCAGAAACGTACCGTACGTGTTTACGATTCACGCGAACGATCGCGAGCAATTCTCACCCTCTCCGTCTTTTCATCCGTTAAACCTTTCCGTTTCCACGCGTTTGTATCGCGCTTCACGAAACTCGTGACTGGCGTGGCTGTCGGAGGGGGAGGGGCGGGGGGGGGGGGGGGGGGGGGGGGGGGGGGGGGGGGGGGGGGGGGGGGGGGGGGGGGGCCGCGAATGAAAACCGCGCGGTAACCGAACTCCATTAATCACGGTGGCTTTCGTCGCCTAATGAAAGGGCAAAATATGGCAGGAGTCGAAAACCGACGGGGATAGAATCGGTCGCTGCCGAAGTTGCCAGCCTGCGCGTCTAGCTCTCGGTTAAACGATTTAAGTGCAGATTTTCGACGTCGTCGCCGAGAACACACGCGATCGCGTTTCGCAGAGGAAAGAAATATCGCGGAAATGGCAAATACGATCCGCTTAGCGAGAGACTTCACCTCGTGTTTTCTATTGTCGTTGCGCGAATCGGTATATTTATCACAGCTTTCTATTCGTTGCTCGCTTTGTTCGATCGTCGCGGATTCCTTTGGCCGAGTGTGTGTCGAATTCGAGCATCCCTCGTTAAGCAGAAGACACTGAGACGTGGTATCTATAAAAGATCGCCGCTGCATCCATCGATTTCCTCTATTACGCGAGATGTAACTCGAAGCCGGTAATGCGCTAATGGCTGTAGAAAAATCACGTCGTTCCTGTACACATTCTCCTCCTTGTGCCTGTCTATACTTTCACTAGTTGACAAAAATTTCACTGGCATTTACATCGCGACAGCGCGAGAAAATAGAAAATCTTTCTCTGCCGGTTGCGTAACGTTAGACAAGAAGGGATAGAACCGTGTATATGCATAGCAAGGGCGTTCTATTAAAAAACTTAGAACGAACTATTCTAATAAAATGCAGCTTGCACATTGGACAGGAGTATATATATACTTCCTTTGGCGGTTATACATTCAATCTAGGAGATTACAAGTTTCGAAACGAAGTTCGCCAATGAAAAAAGTGAAACGAGAAAAATTGGATTACCCCGGCAGGCAACCGACAGGAAAGTATCTCTCCTCGTGAATCTCGAGACGAGGTGGCTGCGGCCCCGGGTTTCCAGCGGAGCTCGCGACGACAATGCAAGCGCAACGATAATACCTTATTACGTCGTATACCTGCCGGGGGGAAACGCACAACCCGTTCGCATTGTAGGCTCATTAATAACGCCGTACGATCCGAGATAACGGTAGGAAAGAGAGGGACTACGTAGGACCTGGCTCTGTACACGTTCCGCGAGCAATGGACGAACGAGAAACACTTGTCGCGCGAAATCGGTTAATTCGTCGGCTAACTGGCCAACACGGGGGAAACATCGAGCCGTACAACGCGGAGAACCACGTACGAGTTTCCGGTAAATTATCTCGGCAGTTAATATTACGCGGGATATTTTAATGGACGAGTATCGATCGCGAATATACCTCGAAACTGATGGTTATTCATATCTGAACGGCGTATGTAACGGCGATGAATTGTCGATCCCGGCCACTTGAAAATCCATTTCATTCGAATGTCTCAGACCGGCGGCATAAATGAATTTAAAAAATCACGGTCACGCGGCCGCGTCGCGCATGAATTTTTACCCCGCGCGGGCTCGAAACTCGCCGAATCGGCCTTCGTGCAGATAAAACGCGCGCGCGCGTGCTGCCCGTGTGCATATGCACACTGCAGCTGATGACGCGTGACACGTGCGCGTCGTCGTTGGGAATCAATTAGCCCGACATGCACCGCTGCCCCTGGGATACGTGTAACACCTTCCCCGCCGAGCGGACCAACACTTTTCGACGTTCGACATCGGCCGACACACACCGATACGCGCACACCGATATACAGAGTGCTCTGGAAAAATTCGACTGAATCTCTCGCATCTAAAATTACGCGTATATGTAATGTTTGTAGGCACATCTCGTGGGAAACGTTCGTAGAGTTTCTTGATCATCTTTCTCGATGTACGATCGTTTGAATTTGCAAATTCTCTCTGTTAATTCGCTGGCAAATATATAGTTCCATGACGTACCGTCTACTCGGTATCTCTTACTCTTTGGTGCTTCACTTGGTTAATATTGACAAGCTGTAAATCTAGGTTAGCAAATGTGCAGCTAGTGGTCGAGATAGAATTACAATCCTCGGATATAACTTCCTGAAATTTCACGTGGCAAATCGGATCGTTTCTGACGAGGCGTATCGGTTGAGTCAGACGATTAGATATTCCTGATTTCTATTTTATTTTCTCTCTCTCTCTCTCTCTCTCTCTCTGTCTCTCTCTCTTTCTCTCTCTCTCTTTGCAAAGTACCTCCTGCTCGACCGAAGATAAAAAGAAAAAAACAAAATTTATTTCGATAGAAACTGTCGGCTAGATTCACCGAGAGGTTAGTTGATTTCGCGAAACGAACGTAAACCATTTTCGGAATACGATGCACGCGAAAATCTCCTAACGTTAATCCGCGCGTTTTTGATGGACGAAATAACGGAAGCCTGATGTCCGGCGACTATCTAGCACCAGGGTTTACGCGCATCTGCACGTGTAATCCCCGAAGGGTTTATAGGCCACCGTCGTCGCATATATGTACGCAAAGTTACATACCTCCGGAGCGATCAACTGCGCCGGACGAAGGGGAATGCATCGAGGTTTCTGCAACAGCCTCGCGCGGCTCCACTCGTTAATTAAAACTTGCCGTGGCCGTGTGCGGGGTTGAACAGGGCTGCGCCAACGGGTCATGTCAAATTTCGCTGATCATTTTTGTTCCGTGTAAACTGGAACCAGGTAACCGATAACAACGTATCGTCCGTCATCTCCTCTACACGTCGTCCCCGTAACAAACGGAATTTGCAAACGAGGTTTCGGCGCTCGGCGGAAGACAGAAAATTGAAAATTATCGATGTCCGCCGAACAGCCGAACGTCGGTGGTCGTTCGACGTTTCATGCGCAAAACAGACACGTACGTGGCATGATTTTTCGTCTGATCGTCTGTATTGCGCTAGATTGCGGTCGCCCGTTACCCGTTTATGCACCGCAACGAAGTGATATGTGGCAGGGACAGAGGTCAATATTATCCAATACCAAAATCGATCCATAATTATTAAGCAAACACAATGGGAATGGGCTCCAAAGCATGCCTGGACAAATATGATTACATCGTTGATGTGAACATTCCGATCAATATAAACTGTTCGGTGGTGTTCTCTATCCAATTACGCTTATGGGGTTTTGTCTGTAGGCCCGTGGAAATCAATCCTCGCTGACCGTGCGTTGATAGTACCGCCTAATTAGTTTGATTATTGCGCGACTTCCGGCGACTCGTCAGTCGCACGGACACAAAGAGCGCGTTGTACGCTGTTTTTCGGGAATGAATAGCCTCCGTCGCAATGTACTTTTCGCGCAACGTGCGTACGTTTCTCGACGTTCGTTCGCCGCAGCGGCGAAAGAAAATTACCTGCAGATGGTAGAAAACCTCGCCGGTGTAATTTCGCGATACGTGCGTATTATCGAAAGGACGGTAAGAGAAATAAACGAATCCGAATTACACGGTTCCTCTCTGCGCGCGCGCGATCTGGAAATAATGCGAGAGCCGGCTGATTCCCCGTTTGATTTTATTGCACTTCCGGTAGTTGGCGAATGGTCGAAGAATGAGCAAGGAACGCGCGCGTCAGTGAGCTAGTGCCTAGCGATAATCGTGTCTATCGTGTACGATTCGACGGGGAAGATTCGAGCGCGCGCGTGATAGATGACGACAGAGTCATGAGGCTGACTTGAAGTGTTTTCGGATGAATGTAGTGCCATTCATCGTGTGCCTAATTAACAGAACCTCGAGGTGTTCTGATCCCTGTATTGTGCGGACCACAGTGCGCGCGTCTAGCAAGCCGCGTCGTCCCTTTGCAAGCCGCGAGCGGTGAGAATTTAATTAACCTGTTCTGCATTTGATAGCCGGCAAAAACTTCCGGTCGGTGTCTTTTGTGAAGTGGTCGTAATTAATATTCCTCGACAGAGGCAAAGAGCAGAAGAAGCCAGGGTGGTTGCCGAGGTATAGGGCTACGAGACGACGACGACGACGACAACGACGAGACGACGCGCAGCCTGCGTGAGAGAATGAGAGACAGAGAGAGAGAGAGAGAGAGAGAGAGAGAATTTCAGACGGCAACTCTCGCGACGCTGCCTCCTAAAGACGGAGCCAGAAGAATTTTCGGATGACGAATTCGTTGCTTTTCGAGCATTCGCAGTGAACCATAGAGCGTTTGCCTGGAAAGTGTTTAATCGGACGTGTAAATCCATCTATCCGGAACAGTTACGAGTGTTTCGCTCCCGTTCCGCTTTCACTTTCACTTTTGATTATTGGGTTTGAAATAAGTTCGGGTCTAGAGTCTCTTTGACACGGAGCGTCTGCAAATTTAAACGGTCTTGAAAAGATTCGTTTAGCGTGGCAGCGGAAACAGAGGGCCGTTCCGTGTAGGGGAATTGTAAACTCCGGTCGGAAGTTTTTTTATTCATTTTCAAGCTACACTATAGATACGTCAGAGCTACTGAAAATCTATGAAATTTTCCAATAGCAACGTGGACGTCGTATTTAAAAAAAAAAAAAAAAAAAAAAAAAAAAAAAAATAATAAAAAAAAAAAAAAAAAAAAAAAAAAAAAAAAAAAAAAAAGAATCGCAAGTGATGAAATATCGAATCGGACTATTATTATTATTAAATGGAGACCAAAGGCCTTAACAGCGATTGAACCGAAGGTAAACCACACGCGCTCGATGCAAAGTATCGAGCGAGTGCATTTCTCCTGGCTATTATTCCCGGCAAGCACGGCCTTGCACTATCTTTGCCAACTCTGGCCATGTCTATTTATAAGGGTAGCTTTGAAAGTCGACGTCCAGGTCACGCCGGACCCTGAACGCCGAAATATACGCACGGCGAGTGCATTGGACAGTGTCTTCGCCCTCTTCGGGATCGACCACTGCCAACTACTCGCTGACGTAACCCACGTGAAAACGATATCAGGTATTCGATCGCATTCTACACCATTGCCGTGAAACTGTGTGACTGCTCATCTTCTATCCACGTTAGATTAGACTATTAACTTCGTTTTTCAGATCTGATTAGATTAGGTTAGGTTAGGTTAGGTTAAATGACAAAGGAAATGATAATTAGAAAGATGGACTTTATCCAGATAAAAACTAATATTAATTCCATTTGATTTCGATCGCCTAAAGTAACTAAGTTGCTATGTAATTTGGTGACGTCGACAATGATATTAATTAAGAATTTGTTTTCAGATCAGATTAGGTTAAGTTATATGAGAAATAAAATAATAATTATGAAGACTTTATCCTGATAAAAACTAATATTAATTCCATTTGATTTCGATCGCCTAAAAGAACTAAGTTGCTACGGTTGTCTACAGTAGTTTGGTGACGTCGACAATGAAAATAATATTAATTAAGAATTTGTTTTCAGATTAGATTAGGTTAGGTTAAATGAGAAATAAAATGATAATTATGAGGATGGACTTTATCCTGATAAAAACTAATATTAATTCCATTTCATTTTGATCGCCTAAAGTAACTAA